TCTCTGATCATGATCTCAGGATCCTGAGATCCAGGCTCACGTGGGGCTCCAAGCTGCTTAAGAGTCTCTCTCTCCCTCTCTCTTTGCCCCTCTCCTATCCTCCCACCCCGCGCTCCCTGTATAAATAATAATAATAAAAATAAAAAAAGAAATTGAGTGCTTAGAAATTTTGAAGGGTGGGTATTGGGGTAGACAAGAGTAGAAAACAGGAAAGGACGGTTGTTGGTTGGGCTTGAAAGTATTTGTACATCTGATACAAAAAAAGTTGAGCTATTTAGTTATCAGAAGTTTGAGTGCTAACCGTGCGCCAAGAAATAATCTAAATACTTAACATAAATGCACATACATTAAACCTGTACTTTGTGAAGAGCTATGGAAGTTATCTATTAAATCCTGGAACAAGAAATGAATCCACCAAAACAATCTGTGGCAAAGTGGGCAAACCTACTTTGAGTTCACTGAAGATACCACCTTATGTAGTCAGGTAGTAAAGTTTTTGTGCATGCTGTTCTTCCTGTCTGTGATTAACTTCCTCTGTTCTATCACTGCAAGCTCCTACTCATACTTTGAAAACCTGTTCAGGCCTGACTTCTCAGAAGTCTTCCTCCAACACCCCCTCTTACAGCTGCTTCTCTTGGTGTATAAGTAACCAGGGTGCCTCCTACACAGTTTGGGGTACAAATGTTGGGCCTCTCAGTTCATCCCTAAAGTGCGAATGCTCAAGACCTCACAAACCAGTCATAGGTGTATCCCAGAAGTCCAAACTATCCTACCTCCAATGCCTTCTCCTTTATGCATACAGGATTTTCTGTGCTTAAGAGGTACCTGAAAGGGAGTCTAGCGACTCAGTCTAATGGCTGAGGCAGAAGGGTAAATGTGGCAAAACTGGCCATGTGTCTCTGATTCCTGGAAGGTGCTTGGCTTATTTTCTGGGGTGGGCTACCCACACTCCAGAACTCTCCAACAGGAAGTGCTCCTGGCCAAATTCCCAGTGAGATGAGGCCGTGAGGATTAATGGATTACAGCTACAAGAAGCCTAGGCACTGCCTGCTGCATGCGGGGTGGCTCAGGGGTAGGGCAGCCAAGCTGTTTACAGAAGCAAAGTAAAGTAAACAGACAACGCCTTGTCCCCATGGGGAACCTGCCCAGTCGGGTCAGTGCAGTGTCAGAATCTGAGCCTAAGTAAGGCCCGTCCAGCCCGTCCCAGTGCCACCTTGATCCCATGGACCTCAGACTCTGCCAGTTTAGGCCCCAGGTGTCAGATTTCAAAGTAATGAGTTCTTTACAGTATCTGGAGGGCTAATCAGAACCTTGGCTTCCCCACTCTGAGGATTTAGAGCCATCATCGTTCTATCTCCCTTTAAAAAAAAAAAAAGTCTAAACACAGATTTCCTGATACATTTCTTGGTAAACAACTGGAGCTACTTACTTGACTCCCTATCCAGTAAGGATGTGAGAGACTCAACAATTCCAAAATGGTTTTTTAGTTTAGTTTAGTTTTGTTTTTCTCCCAGCCTATATAGATAGAGTCTCACTATAGTATATCACTCACTGGTAGGCATCTTTCTGGTGAAGAAACCCTACCAAATATGTGTTACACTGTCTTCTAATTTTTTTTGATTCCTACCTCCTTACTGAGTCTTGAGCTTTTAGATGGTAAGATTATGTCTTTTATCTCTATATCCCTAGCACCTAGCAGATTTTCCTAACATGGTTAATAGTGGTAGCCATAATTACGGTAATAGTAGTAGTACTAAGTCACTATTGAGTGCTTGTTCTGATCCAGGCAGTGCTCTGAATATGTTATATGAATGATCTTACAAGGTAGGTACCTGTATCCTCATTTTTATAAGTGAGAAATCTGAGACTCAGGTCAAGAAACTTTCCCAAAATTACACAGCTAATAAGTGGCAGAATTGTGCTTGATACCTCTTTGTTGAATTTAACTGTGCCCTACTTACTGAAAATCGAAATATATAAAACCAGCCAATTATTAATGGTGAACATTTCCCTTATTCGTTAGAGGAAGATGCCCTCTCTCCACTCCAAGTTCCCATGGGGAGGACTGTTTCCTGGCTCTCTCAGAGATGTAACCATTTTACCACTGATGTTATAAAGTAAACTTAGCCAGAGTAACCTAGAATACTGGGCTTAGCTCTGCCACCTTTTTTCTCTGGGGAGATATAGCCCACAGGGAGAATTAATCTCTGCTCCCTCCCCACCACCGGGGCGGGTGGGGGGGGGTGGCCTGTCTGCTCTGAGCCCAGTGCTGCTTTGGAGTGGATGGAGATAGCTTTTGATTCTGGAATTCAGTATTAGCCCAGCACACCTCTACCAGACCTGAAGTCCCTCCTTCCAACCTAACCACCTGTCTCACTCTTTGTTTTCCTCCTCAACTCTTCAGAAGTAGTGAAGAGCCAAGCTATTCCCTGGGCTCCCTTAGAGAGCTCTCCTGCACTCCCAAATCATCAAGGGGGGGATTAAAGCTTTTTACTTTAAACAGTCCACAGAGTAAAGAGTGGCTAGAGAAGCCAGAACAGGGAGTGATGAGAAAGAAGCAGAAACCAAAAACTTCATGCTAAGAGTCAGCTGAAGATCACTCAAAATTAAAGAGAAGGCGCTTGGCAAATTGATGTGTAGGTAAATGACAAATAGCAATTTACAACTTGCTTGACCTCCTCGACTCTTGACGCACTTCCACTATCTGAAATGAAGGGTACTGTTACCCACAGGCACGCCAAACCCTTCAGATGATAGGGATGTGGGCCTTGTAGGGGACCTCCTCTGGTTGGGAGGAAAGGGAGATGCCCTTCCAGGCCCATTCTCCGACTTTCCTAGATTTCCGCAAACAGGCTGACAGTTCAGGAAGACTGCCAACGACCTGCTTCACCCTCCCTTCTCGAGCTATCTGCTTGCATTCTCCATCTGGGTGTTTCACAGGCATTTCAAACAAAGCATGAGCAAAACAGGTCTCTTGATTTCTACCCAAATCCTGTTCCTTTCCTCGTCTTCCCATCTCAGTAAATGGAACCAGTACCCTCTTGTTAGCTTCCGCTAATTTCCTCCTACCCCACATCCAATCCATCAGCAAGTTCTGTTGTCTCTGCCTCTAAAATAGATCCTGAGTCTGTTCACCTCCTGCTAGCTCCTTGTCCAAAGTAACCACCTTGGCCCAAGTACGTGTTATGTCTCACCCGGACTCTTAAAAGAGACTTCTAAAGTAATAGCCTCCCTACTTCCGTTCTTGCCAATCTGTAATCTAACCAGCAGCCAGGTGAGCTTTCAAAATGAAAATAAGTCATTTCATTCCCCTGCTTACCGTTATTTAATGGCTTCTAAATGCCCTTAGAATAAAGTCCAAAGTTCCTCTCTCTGAATTAAAGTTCTGTGTCATATAACCCCTGCCTTCTGTGTGACTTCATCCCTTGGCTTTCTCTACCTCACATGCCAAGCCTGTTCCCACCTCAAGACCTTTGTCCAGTACTTGTTACTCTTCTTGGATCACTCTTTCTTCAGATCTTTTGGTCACGTAGGGTAAATATCACCTCCTCAGGGGAGACCTTCCTGCCTACTTCCTTCTGTCTGAAGTAGGTCGACCCCTCCCTCCCTCCCCTCCCTCTGGTCACTCTGTCTCACCTTCTTCTTTTTTTTAAGCTTTTTCATTTTTTTCATAGTATTTATCACTATCTGAACTTATCTTGATTTGCTAATTGTCTACTCATTATATTTATTATCTGTATTCCTCAACCAAAGCATAAGCTCCATCAGGGCAGGAATGCTACCTGTTTTGCTCCCTGATTTCCCAAGGTCTAAAATAGTGCCTGGCCATAGAACACTCTCTGATACAAACGAAGCATTAGTTTAATGAAATTATGAAAATGAAAAGAAAAGACAAAAACATATCTAGACATCGACATATTCTGGCTCAAAAATACAGATTTCTGATCTTGTCATAGCTTCATCTTTGAAGGTCAGCCTCATTCCACACTCAAACATCCACCCAAATGGCCTGAGCAGCTCTGAAGGGTCTTCTACACCTTCTTTGTTTTTGGCCTGATTCTGAGAGACAGAGTTTATCCTACTTTCTGCTTACATCCTAGTGGCCTTGAGTTCATTCACAGCCCAAGGCAAGAATCGGTCTTTAACTCACCAACAACTCTTTAACCCAGAACACTTCTCCTCCCCAAATGATTGCCTGGTCCATTTAAACCTGACGTGGACTGAGACTCCAACCTCTAACCCCTCAGCCCCTCCCCTAGATTAGGGGACATCCTCTAAGGCCCAGCTCCCTCCATTGTCAAGTTAATGCAAGAAGTTTGGTGATGCTATCCAGGGCGGAGAGCTGGTTGGAAATTGGGTGAGGGCAATGCTCTTTCACTAAAATAAGATGTGAGTATTAGTAAGATATTAGGT